AATTATTTTCTGTTAGATCCATAATTTATTCTCCTCATTTTTCTCTTCCCAAAATGCCCCTTTTATCTCAATCTCAAATTCCCATTAATTAGATAAAAAGAAAAACTATTTTTCCTTTTTATTGAGACTTCTCTACTTGTCATGGGAATTATGGAATATCTTGAATATTTAAGGGACTCCTTTTCATCCCATAATCTCTTATAATTCCTTGAGGCATCATAGGAATTTTCTTGAAATTTTTCTTTCCTTAAAATTATTTATTTGGAATTTTCCAAACAAAAGGCTTCAATTTAGCTTAAATCGCCTTTAAATTCTTTTGAAATTTCTCAAAGGGCTATTTGGTCATAAAACCAATTATTCATCATCATATAATTCTCAAGTAATATTATCCTTAATTTTTCTCAATTTCTGAGGCTTGGAAATATTTTTCCATTATTACTTGTTGACTAATGTTCCTTAATTAGTCAAACTTTTATAATTAACTTAGAAAATCACCATTAAATATTTCTATAAAAAATTTTCTATTTCTCCTTATCACTTTTGGCCCTTGATTATTTAGGAATATTCCTTATCCCTAAATACCATATTACTGGATGTGATATTTCTCCCCCTAAATAAATTTCGTCCTTGAAATTTAGGGCGTGGCTTATTGGACAAGTTCGGGATACTTTTCTCTCAGCTCAGTTTCCCTCTCCCACATAGGTTTTTCCTGTGTAAGACCTTTCTAGACAACCTTCACCAGCAGAATCTACTTATTCCTTGATTGTTTGACCTTTTGATCAATGATCCACTCTGGTTTGACCTCGAAAGACAGGTTGTCTCGGAGCACAATGTCATCATAGCTTATGACATGTGTCAGGTCTGGATGATACTTCTTCAATTTGGGAGACATGGAAGATGTCACACCCTGATAATTTTATTCTAACTGATGAATGATTTGTGACTGACTAAGGCCAAGTAGTATAGTAGACTGGTAGAGGATCCAGGCTATGAGGAAAAATCAGGATAGGGACGTAACGGTCATTTCTGAAAAGATCAGTTAAGAAAGGGCAGTATTGGAAATAATGTCCAAATTTCCTGAAAAATTCCCAAAAAATTATGAAAAATAGAAAGGAGGGTACAGAATAATGTTTGAGGCTTAGAAGATGAATATGAGATTAAAAATAATTTGTCAGGAAATTATATGTAATTATTGGAATTTTTGGCTAATTAAGGAAAATTAGCCAATTTCCATTATTTAAAATATATAGAGGCCTCAAAAATTCAAGGAAAAATATGGATAAATTATGTGACATATTATCCTAATTTATAAAATTATTTCCCACCTTTGGATGTACAAAGGTTAGCTTAAAGGATATTTATTACCGAATTATTATCGGTAGAATAGTGATTTTTGACAGAATAAAATTTAGAAAATTATAGAGGGAGATAGAACTTGAGAAAAATCATGGATTACCCTTGGAATGAGGGGAATTTAATGAGGTGTTGAAATCGGAATTTTGTGACAGTAAATTGGACAGGATTGCTGGAAAATCGGGCCGGAAATACACAAATAATCAGTGGATTGCACTGATTATTGGATGAGTCATATTTTTTCCAATATTAAGAGCAATAATTCGGCCAAAATTAGAAGGAGAGGACAAAGTTGGAATTTTCCACATTGTTCAAGGGCATAAAGGGAAATAAGAGACAAAATAATAAAATAATATTTATTTTCCACATGAAAATCACATGGTGATTAGGTGTCCCTACATGTGTCACTTTCTTATGGTGAGTGCCCTAAGATTTGTCCACGTGTAAAGTAGAAAAAAATGAACGGCCGAGATCGCATCTTTTTCCCGAAGGGCATTTTCGGCATTTTGAAATATCAAGGCCTATAAATACCCCCCCTTTCATGAAGAATTCGGCCAAGAGGTGTTTGTTGGGAGAGAATTTTGTGTTCTTGAGTTCTAGGAGAGAGAAAGGAAGAAAGAAGAGAGAGAAAGAGAGACAGCAAGCTTAATCACCTCTAATCGCCGATTAAGCGCTAATTAAGGTATGTTTATCTCCCTAAGTGTTAATTATTTTTAGTTGATTATTTATTTGAGGAAGATTAGGATTAATTACCTTGATTAATTATGGTTTAGTGATAGCTAAGATTAATTATGTTATTTGATTAAGGATTAGTAAGTGATTAAGGTTAGCTACCCTAATTAATTAGTGATTAGTTATGATAATTGAAGGATGATTAATTATGGGTAATCATGTTGATTAAGTATTGATTAAAGCTTAATCATATTGATTAGAGAATGATTAATGATTAATCATATTGATTAGAAAATGATTAATCATGTTAATTAAGGAATGAATAATGGTTAATCATATTGATTAGAGAATGATTAATGATTAATCATATTGATTAGAAAATGATTAATCATGTTAATTAAGGAATGAATAATGGTTAATCATGTTGATTAGAGAATGATTAATGGTTAATCCAAAAAGGGATTAGTGATTTAATCTTAAAGGATTATGACTATGTGACTTGAGGACCTTAATTAAGTATTGGATTAAGGACTAAGGGTTAGTGATTAACCAAGGAAGCATGATTAATCATGGGTTAAGGAAGAATTCCAAGACCTTAATTGAGGATTAAGGCTTGGTCAAACCAAGGTCAAAGGTTTAGGAAAGGTATACAGAAATTATAAATTGAAAGATACAAGGGTAGCATTATATTGAGAAAGAATGGTATACTGGATATGGAATTTACCATACCCTTACTGTATGGTTGATAGGCAACTCTCCTGGAAACCTAGGAGGATCTCCAGCAAGGGATCAAGGAGGAAACGTTAAGCAAGGAATTGAGGTAGCGTGAACTGCAATTATTTTGTTGATCTGTATTTGATGTATCTGCTATGTGTGTTTATGTGCCATGAGAATGTTATGTACAGATGATGTGAACTCCTTGCAATGTATGCCTTGGCTCTTGCATGATTGAGTTTTGACCAGAATGATTATATGCTCCATGATATGATGACATGGATACAGAATGATTATAGCATGGCATAAAGACTAGAAATGTTATCTTATTGCATGTAGCATGACATCTTATGCATGTTGACTTGATGGTTGTATGTTCAATGCTACTGGGATTTCTATGAAATCTCATTCCTCCTATAACATGATATCCTAGGTGCCACTACTGCTAAGGAGAAAGGAAAGGAAATAGTCATGGCTTGAAGAAGTTATGAATTATGTAATGTATTATACGGTTTTGAACTTTTCTCTTTCAAGCCATGTAAGCATACTATGTTCATAAATACATGATATGATACCCTTTTTGGAATGTATATTAATGATAGAGTAGCTTTATAAGTGATTATGGTATGATTATAGTGAAAAACGAAATGCTGTCAAAATTAGTGAAAAAGGGGATAAAAATGGTCTAGATTTGACCAAACTTTGACCAACGAAGACCCTGGTCAAATGGTTGACTTTTTCCCTGAAATTTGGTATGCGAATAGATCTTATTTTTCCCTTTAAAATAAGTGGTAAAGCGTCACAATCGGAGCTCTGTGTAAGAAGTTATGCCTTTCCGAAGTTAGGCAAAAATCCTGGAAAATAGAAAAATGACCAAATGAACAGTACTTCTCGAAATTGAAAACGAATGCGTTTCTGATTAAAGCGGAACCTGAGGTCATTTTTCTTGATAGATGATGTTGAGAGCTTCGAGTGAGACTTGGAACGACCTCGTTTCGATTTTTCTAGAATTAGTTATGATTTTTCAAAGTTATGCCAAGTTTAAGGTTACGGTGAATAGTAATGCGGGAAAAGAAATTTTCAAATTCAGGTTTTTCAACCCGGTAACCTTAGTTTGCGCTTCCGAGTGTCTTAACTTGGCACAATATAAGGTCGTAAACGTAAGGTGTTACAGAAGACATCATGAATTTGATTCACATTCTGGGGAAGGGCCAACTTATAAGCCACTAGTCCAGCTTTAGACAAAATTTGAAATGGTCCAACATACTTCGGACTCAATTCCTTAAGTCTTTAGGGATCGATTGACTCCCGTTGTTGGCGACACTGTGATCACCAACTTCAAATTCTAACAGTCTCCTTTTAGTGTCTGCGTAGCTTTTCTGTCTATAAACCATTAAGAGTCTTTGCCGAATGGCCTCCACTTGTTGGGAGGCCTGATCCACTATGTCAGAACTATAAATACTTCTTTCACTAAGCTCTGTCCAGCATAAGGGAGATCTATATTTCCTCCTGTCAAATGCTTTATATGGCGTCATTCAGATACTCGAATGAAACGATTATTATAGGCGAATTTGGCTAACGGTAAGTACGTGTCCCAAATATCGCCAAAATAAGCACACATGCTCTTAGCATCTCCTCTAGGGTCTAAATCGTTCTTTCTGTCTACCCATGTGTCTGTGGGTGGTAGGCTGTATTGAATCTGAGAGTAGTGTTCATTTCTTTCTGTAAGGACCTCCAAAACTTAGAAGTAAATCTTGGGTCTCGATTCGAAACAATACTGCTTGGGACACCATGCAGCCTAACCATCTCCTTGACATTAAGTCTCGCTAACTTTTCTAGAGAATCTTTAACGTTCTTGGCGAGAAAATTTGTTGACTTAGTCAGACAGTCCACTATGACCCATATCGTATCATGCTTAGCTGCTGTCATTAGTAACCCTACTATAAAATCCATGGATATACTATCCTACTTCCATTCCAGGATATCCAGGGTTGCAGCTCTCCTGCTAATTTCTGATATTCCATCTTCACTTTCTGGCAAGTGAGACACTTTGCTATGTATTCTATGACATCCTTTTTCATTCCAAGCCATCAAAAAAGCTCTTGTGGGCCTCTGCTAATGCCCTTTCCCTAAGGTTGACTACTCGGGGAATATAAGTTTTTTCTTTTAAACTTTAATAGCCCCTCCTTAGAAATTTCAAAATCTCTAGTCTCGCCCCGAGACAACTTTCCTTTGAAAATTTCTACTAGCCGATCTTGTGACTACGCTTCCTTGATCTGATCCCTGAGCAGAGCTGTATACTGTGTTCTACCTCTATTTCCTTCTACTAGCTGTATCTGATATAGAGGACTCCAATCTCTGAAATCTTCTATCAGCTTTTGCTCCTTGATCATTAGTGATGCTACCTGCACTGCCTTCCTACTTAAGGCATCGACAACCACATTCGCTTTGCGTGGATGGTACTTAATCTGGAGATCATAATCTCTGAGCAAATTCACCCATCTACATTGCCTCATATTCAGTTCTCTCTGATCATAGAGGTATTTGAGGCTCTTGTGGTTGCAAACAACTCTATCGTTGCTCCGTACAGGTAAAGTCTCTATATCTTTAATGCTTAAACTATTACTACCAACTCCAGGTCGTGGGTCTGGTAAATCTCCTCGAGAGATTTAAGCTGGCGTGAGGCATAGGCTACTACTCGCCCTTGCTACACGAGCACACACCCTAGTCCTTGCTTACTAGTGTCCGTGAAGACCACATACGTTTGCATAGGATCAGGGAGTATAAGTATGGGAGTAAAGGTGAGCTTCCTCTTTAGCTCCTGAAAACTAGCCTTACTCTTCTCGTCCCACAAGAACAGCTGGTTCTTCTTGGTCAACTTGGCCAGCAGAAGAGTAATCCAAGAGAAGTCCTTACTGAATCTTTTGTAATACCTTGCCAGTTTGAGAAAACTTCTGATCTCAGTCACTGACTTGGGTCTCTCCTAGTTGAGTACTACCTCAATCTTGCTGAGGTCGATGGCTACTCCCTTTTGGGAAGTCACATGGCTGAGAAATCAGACTTTCTGTGGCCAAAACTTACATTTACTAAGTTTAGCAAAGAGCTGCTTCTCTTTCAGGGTATTACGGACAATTCTCAACTAATCTTCATGCTCTTCTAGAGACTTGGAGTATACCAGGATGTCATCAATGAACACCACCACGAACTGATCTAATTAAGGGTGAAAGATCCTGCTCATGTAGTTTATACATATCGCAGGTGCATTCATCACTCCAAAAGGAATCACGAAGAACTCATAGTGCTCATATCAAGTTCTAAACGCAGTCTTAGGGACATCGTCAAGCTTAATCCTGAGTTGGTGGTAGCCAGATCTCAAATCAATCTTAGAGAACATACTAGCACCAATTAACTGGTCTAGCAAATCATTTATTCTAGGGCGAATAATTGTTCTCAACTGTGACTTTATTCAACTCCCTGTAGTCTATGCATACTTTTAGACTACCGTCCTTTTTCTTGACGATAACAATGGAGCACCCCATGGTGAAACGCTTGGTCTAATGAAACTTTTTTTCTCAAGAAATTCTTCTATCTGCTACCTTAGTTTCGCCATTTCGTTTAGAGCCATTTGTAAGGGGCTTTAGAGCTGGTCTCGCTCCAGATATGATATCCTTCATGAATTCTATTTCCCTATCTGGAGGTAATCTTGTAACCTTTATCAGAATCACTTCCGAAAATTCCTTAACAATTGGGATTTCTCTTATCCCTTCCTCAACTTCTACTTACATCGAGAAGAATACAAGGAATCCTTGACAACCTTTCTGTAAACATTTGCCCGCTTGGGCTTTCGTTATGAAGTTCAACCTAACTTCTGGACTCAACTCTATTTCTCTTGGGTAAGATCAGGGCTTTATTCTTACAATCCAGTAGGATGTTAAGGGATGACAACCAATTCAATCCAAGATACCATATCAATCTCATAGAAGGGCATACATATGAAATCTAAAGCAGTACAACAGTGCTTATAACAAACTATATAGTTTAAGCACGCATCCAATGTAACGTGTGTCATAAGGCAACGTCTTCATAACTAAGCCAAGTCTTTCAGCACAAACATACGAGATAAAAGAATGACTAGCACCGAATTAAACATTACAATCACTGGGGAGTTGTTGATAATGATCGTACCTTGGATCATTTCTGAAGATTTTTGGGCTTCTTCCCCTGTGAGAGCAAACACTCGACCCTGGATACGTAGTCTTAACTTCTCTGCATTCTGTGGGCATCCTCTAGAGAAGTGTCTGGGCTTTCTGCGGGTGTAGCAGACATTTTGTCTAGCCATACATGGTCTGTCACTGTGACTCTTGCCGTAGGTCAGACATTCTTTGCCTTTTTGTGGTTTGTCTCCCTTTTTCCCTTTTCGGTTGTTCCATGGCCTTTTCCTCTTCTTGTTGGCATTAGAAGAGATGCCACCCTAATCTCCCTTCTCCGACTTGGGAGTAACCTTAACCATCAGGTGATGGTTTAAGCTGTTTTCTGTGATTTGCAGGCTTTAACCACCTTGTTGAAGTGCTCAAACTGCCTGGGAGCAATCATCTCCCTTAAGGACTGCTTCAGTCCTCTGACCATCTTCTCTATCATCTACCTCTTATCGTCTCGGTAATGGAGGTAGCTAGAGTAGTGAGAGAGATGGATGAATTTGGATAGGTGTTCATCAAAGGACTCATTCTCCTTTTGCTTCAGGGATAGGAATTCTGCTTTCCTTTCATCCTTGACTGACCTCAGAAAGTGCTTCTCATAGAACTGCTCCAGGAATACTTCCCATGTCACTCTCGTGTTTCGAGCATTAAGGATGAGTTCGGTGTTCTTCCACCAGTGGTCAGTATCATTCTCTAACCTGTAGATTGCCATTTGGGCTTTTTGCTCAGTTGGACAATTCAAAACTTTAAAGATTTTCTGTTACACCTTACTACTAAAGTCACTTAGAGTTTAATTAAAACCATTTTAGACCATATTGGATTGTCTTGGGCTTAAGAATTCCATAAAAATGCTGATTTTCAGATTTTTACTGTTCATTTGGTAAAAATCCAGTTTTCTGGTCCAATTTCAGAAATCATAACTTAATCTAGAAAAATCAAAATAGAGTGGTTCAAAATTCTGTGGAAAGCTATTTCAATACTATTTCAAGGAAAAATAATCTCGGAAATTAATTCCTTGTGAGAAAGTGTTAGATTTTTGTGAAAGTCAAATTTGTCATTTTGGTAAAAACCCTATTTTTAATGTGCTACCTATTGATTTGAAGCTTATGATGTAAACTTTAACCATATCAAATTTCGTAAAGAAATTCGTTTGGAAACTTAATAAAAATGTAGCTCCAAGTTGGTGTCCAGCTTGGGGTTACAGCATCCCATTATCATACATTTACATAGCCAAATTATAATGGTTTCCTCATGGTTCATCACCATTTTATCCTTGGATTTGCAGCCTCCCTTTTGATGATTCAGCCCTAAAATGTTAGGTTACATATGGGGGATGAGATTTCAATAAAATCCTAGTAGCAAGATCAATAAACCAAAACATCAACATCCATCACTATAAAGCATTTCACATTAGCTATCATAGGAGAACTAATCTTATTATAAATAGGCAACCTCAACATGCAAGAAGCAACCATATCACAATCATCATAGTTTAACCATACAATAGCAAGCATTTATGCCATAAATAACAATGCAAAGTTAACATTAGTGGCTAATTAAATCCCACTATCTTAATCCAATACTCTTTGATTCTTTGACCTTCTTCCTCTTCTCCACAATTAACAAACCCTAACATGATAAATAACAAAAAAGGCAGCAAGATTACTAACCATTTCACATAAAAATTAACAACAAAGCTCAAGTAACTCCTAAACCCCTTAAAGCTTTCATCTTTGTTCTTTGAATTTTTAGAGTTTGTTTCCTTAACCCTAAAAATTCTCTCTTGACCCATTCCTACATGATTTTTCATGTAGAATCCAAATATGGACTTGGAATTTTAAAAACACATCTCCTCCCTATTGATCTTGATTTGGCTTAGAGGTAGTGATTATGGCCCTTCAATGTCCAACTTCATTTTAATGCATTTCAATGCATATGGCTTAGGTTTACCCTACACAAAACTTCATTTTAAAGCCAATAGAAGCATAAAAACATGCAAAATCTCATCCTAGGGCAAAATCACTATTTGGATGAAACATACATATAGGTTTCTTATCATGAAAAACTTCCAAACAACAACTTAAACCACTTGAAACCATGATTTAAGGTGTTCTACCAAGATTTATCAACCAAACTCCCTCCCTTACACTAAGAGCATTTCGGCCAACACCTAAGAAAAGGATAAACAAAATTTTCCAACCATCAAACTCAAGAGAATCAAGCAAAGAACAACATAGAATCAACTACTAACCTTAACTCCTAGCTTACTTGATCCAAGATGGTTGTTTTCTCCTTGGTTGCACTTTAAGATCACTCTTTTCCTCTTCTCCTTCCTCTTGGCCGAACCATAATCAGAAAAATAGTGGAGGAAGAGCTCATTTAAGTGCACAAATATCTCAACCACCAACAATAAATGATTCGCCAAGTGTCACTTCCCTACTCCTTCTTGAAACTTCTCTCTTAATTATTTAATTCCAATTGTAATTAATTTTCAAAAGTCAAACTCTCCTCCACTTGAGGCTTGACACTTGGAAAGTTTAATTACTCTCTAATAAGGACTTGACAAGCGGCAACTTGTGGACTAAGTAAAGTGCAAGACTCTAATTTACACTTGATCGGTGCACTTTTACTCTGGATTTAATTTCTTTTCTATAATTACAGTACTCTAGCCTCTGTAATTATCTTATGTCAAATTCATAATTTATTCTCCTTATTTTTCTCTTCCCAAAATGCCCTTTTTAGCTCAAACTCAATTTTTTGTTGATTAAATAAAAAGAAAAACTATTTTCCTTCTCATTATTGATTTTTCCACTTGTCCAACTAATTAGGAAAAATCTTGGGTATCTGAGGGTCTCCTTTTAATCCTATAATCTCTTATAATTTCTTGGGACATCGTAGAAATTTTCTTGGGATTTTATTCTCCTTCCAAATATTTATTTGGAATTTTCCAAATAAAAAGTCTTAATTTAGCCTAAATTAACCTTAAATTCCTTTTTAATTTCTCTAAGGGTAATTTGGTCATAAAACCAATTATATAATCTCATATAATTCTCAAGGAATATTATCCTTATTTTTTCTTAATTTTCTGAGACTTGAAAATATTTTTCCATAATTATTTTTTACCAATTTTTCTTAATTAGTCAAACTTTACATAATTGACTTGGAAAATCATAATAATTATTTTCCATAATAAATCTTCTATTTCTCCTTATCCTTTTTGGCCCTTAATTGTTTAGAAATATTCTTATTCCTAATTAACATATTATTGGATGTGACATTTTCTCCAAGCAGTTTATCTAATCTTCTGCCGCTTGGACATCAAACACCCCATCGAAAGATGTTGGGTTGTGTTTGCAGAAATGAGTCATCTACTGTTAGATGCTATCAGGGTCTACTGTTGGCATTGTCGATCTAGGTAGCTGTTCGGATGCTTGAGTTGCGAAAACTTCTTCTGGCTACCTCCTATCGAGGTTAACCACTGCCGCTGCTACTGCTATAGCTATCGCGGCATCTCTTTCTTGTTCCTGGCAAACTTGTGCTGCCCTTATGTCCTCAATGGTCTTTTGTTGCTGTTCCAAATGATCCAGAATTAACTATAATGGATCGGGGAGGGACCCTTGCGTCGTGAATTGAAGGTCTCTCTAGTGAAACGTTTCTTCTCGGTCTAACCATTGCGATAACTAAATAGAACACATAACAAAGGAATAAGAAATAAACATGCTTGGATTTCACTTAACAAACATGCATACATAAGTAACATCCATACATCAAGTAACAATAGCAAGTTCAGTAAATACATGCCGAATAAAATAGATGTAACATCCCAAAATTTCTAACCTAGAAATAGGGAAATATGTCATACCCTGATATCTTTAGTATGATTAATGAAAGATTTAGGGCTGACCAAGGCCAGGTGAGATAAAAGATAGATAAACAGCACAACAATTGAAGTGAGAACTGAAAAAGGACCAAATTGTCATTTTTAAAATGATTGGTCTACAAAGGGCATTATCGTAATTAGTGTTTGGAAATCCTAAAAATTTCTAGTAAATCATAGAAAATAGAATTAATGCTGTAGAATGGTATTGAAGGTCTAGAAAGTAAATACAAGTTGAAAATAATTATTAAAAATTATTTTAATTATTAATATTGGCTAAATTAAGAAAAAATTAGCCAATATTAATTCTTAAAAATACTTAGAGATCTCAGAAAATTATGAAAAATTAAAGGAAATTCATTTAGGAATTATGGAAATTTATAAAATTATTTCCAACCCTAAATAATGAGGAGGTTAGCTTTAATTGAATTTAAAGCTAAATTAATATTGGTAGATTTTCTGTTTTTACAGAAATGACAATTTAAGGAGTTATAGAGGGAGAAAAATTATAAAATTAATCAAGAAATACCCCTTTACTGAGACATAATTAATGGTGAGCTGATATAAGAATTTTGAGATACTAGAATCTTTCAGCTATCAAATAAAATAAACCAGTACTATATTAAGACTTAGTGGACTATCTGGACAACAGGGGTGATAAAATTTCCTACAGATGGACAAGGACACATGTCACGCCTAAATTGGCCAAGAAAAGAAAAAAGAAAAAAAAAGAAAAAAAAATAATAAATCAAGATAGGTTAAAACCTAATTAGGTTTAAGTAAGATGATTAGGGTTAAGTCATCTTTCGTAGGATTGTGACATGTGGCAAACATAGTTCATTGGATGGCTAGGATTCAACCATCTACTTTTGAAAAGTCAAAAGTTTCTAGAAGGTTGATTAGCTAAGTTAATCAAGGGACTAAGAGAGTAAACCTTGATTAGAGCCTAATTAATCTTAATGGATAAGAAGAGATGACATAAGCCCTAATGACTCATCATCCAAGTGTCAACATACTAAGCTACATAGCCTAAGATTTGTACATGTGGAAAGAGGTAAAAATTGGAGGGCTAAGATTAAGTCTTATGCAAGAAGGGCATATGTGGAATTAGTGAAATATGAAGCCTATAAATACCCCCTCACATGTTCATTTCATGCAAGACCTTTCAAGTAGGAAACCTCTTGCAAATTTTCGTGTAGAGAGAGAAAGAGGAGAATTCTAGTGAGAGAAAGTCATTTGGAAGCAAGGTAAGCTTCTAAAACTCTTCCATTTCAAGTATGTTAGTTTTAGGCTATTTTAATGATGATAGAAAGTCATTTTTCTAAGGGGAAGTGCTGTCCAAATTTTATCAAAATGATAAGGAATGGTTTAGATGAAGATTAAGCATGGTTAAAGGTTAAAGATTAAGTGGTTACATGTTTGTTTGGTTGAAAATCCTTTTCCCTACAAATATATATATGGTTCGGCCAAGCTAAGTCAATGGGAAGGGATTGGATTTTCATAAAACTAATATGATAAATGGATTCTACATGAAAAATTATATAGGAAAAGCCCAAGAAAGTTCAAGAATCAAAGCTAGAAAAATAAACCCTAAAAATCAAGAAAAAGGGGTTTAAGGGGTTATGTTAAGTTATGAAGTTATAATAATACTTAATGTTGTGTCATTGGTTGCCTAATAGGCTATACACAACAAAGGGACAAGGATCTAATCAAGAGGAAAGAATTCAAGAGGAAGGAAAGCAATCAAGGTAGCTTTTGCAATTCATTATATTAGAGTGTCACCTTACCTTGTATGATTATGGCTATGTGTTTTGCTAACCTGTTATGCTATGAGG